GCAACAGTGGAAAGGAAAAACTTCCTTTTAACGGGAAGAAACATCCATGCTCATGACGAGCGGCCTGAGGAACAGGAAGGAGGGTTTCTCCACAGCACTTTTTATGTGCACATTCCTTGATTTATTATCTGTAAAAATGAATTTGATCCAATAGCCTCACAGTTCCAGGTATTTTAAACTACATAGACTAATTTAAACCTTATGGCTGTAAAACTGTAAAAGTCTAAAATGATGCAGACAAAACAATAACATTTAAGTAAAGAGCATTATGGTCACTCAAATCGTTCCTGTTATTCAGCAACAGTACATCCAGAGTGTGTTTTTGGACCTGCTCCTCCCTTCACAAAGAAGGAAACACCCTTAGCTACCTCAGGACCTGAGCTCTGGACATCGGAACATGAGGTCTGGACATGAGAACATGAGGTCTGGACATGAGAACATGAGAGCTAGACATAAGAGGATATGAGGTCTGGGCATGATGATATGAGGTATGTCAGGCCTTCAGCTGGCAGAAAGGAGTGTGGCATGAATGCTTTTCAGGCAGCCAAAGATCATTATTGGCCCAGCATGAAGTCAATGGGTTATATAATGACTGTTCCTGTCAATCCTTTCAAAATAAAACACTTTCTGACTTGGCAAACTGGAGGAAAAACCAGTGCTTGTTGGTTAGTAGTACAAATAACATGATGTTGAATTATATGACCCCAACTTATATAGCAGACTGATGAAGACACAGACTCAGGAATAAAAAAATATATGTGAGTTTATTTACAAAGTGCTGGAAGAGGTCTGGGTTCTGGTGTTTTGCAGGTAGCGTTGGGGGGGGGGGGGGGGGGGGGGTGCGATAAACGAGGTCCTAGGATTCCAAAGGTGGAGGAGGCATGATCCAGAAGAATGGAGTAATGTTGGAGAGTGACAGGTTGAAGGTGCTCGGTGTTAGGTCTAGGACAGGGGTCTGCAACCTGCAGCTCTGGAGCCACATGTGACTCTTTGGTCTCTCTGCAGCGGCTCTTTCAATCTTTGACCAAATCTAAAACAAAACTGAATTTTATAGGTTAAATAAAAAACAAAAAAGGACTAGTTCAAGCATTTTTCCTGTCATTTCTTTTGCAAATATATGAACACTGGAGCGAATACAAGGAGTAAAACTTTAACTTGATGCTTTATTTCTTTATATGGAGAACTGTCTACATAGTTTATAGAGCTTTTTAATAAAAAAAAAAGGTAAAAAAAAAAATTCACCCTTCTTTACAAGAATCTGTTATTTTTCTTTAATAAATGTACAAGAATGTTATTTTTCTTTAATAAATGTTAAAAATCATTAGATATTTTTGTTTTATAATGTCATCCCTACTGGCCACAAAAGCTCCCTCCAGTGTTCCCTGATAGAATTTAGGTTTTCAGCCCAAAAAATCTGTTAAAATCCACCACATCACACAAAAACCTGCCCAATCAGTATATGGTTACAGTATATTTACTGTTTGAACATGAACGCACATCAGTACGAGCCAAGGTGATTTACCAATATGTGGCAAAATGCAACAATCCAACAAAAATCTTCCCAGAGTTCCCAGCAAAATCACAACGAAAACTGGTGGTGAATCGCCCAATCTGGCAACACTGCCTCCAGCAATCCTAAAGTGGCTCACGGGCCACCAGTTGATAACCACAGCTGTAGCAGGTTGTTGCAGCTCCGGACACATTTAATGTAGTGAACAAAGGCGTAAAAATGGTGCTTTTGATTGTAAAGGTTGCAGACCCCTGGTCTAGGCTGATGTTTGGTGTTTGCTGGAACAGAATGAGGTCACAAGGAGCGAGGAAGTTTCAGGAGACACAGAGGAGCAGGACTTGAAAGACACAAGAAAATATCAAAGGTTAGTAAATCTTTCACAAGAAAAGGTTTTTAGCTGTCACTTCAGTTACTGAGGTATCACCATGTTCCAGCGTTAGACAAATGACTGCCAGGATTTTAAATACACAGCAGTCATCAGGATCAGGTGCAGATGTGGAAAGGTGGATGACTGAATGATTAACAGCTGTGGGGAAAGTGATTATGACTGAAAATCTTGGAATCCTACAGCAATAGGGAAAAACATTTAAACAAATAAATAAGAACGTTTTTTCAAGGATGTTAAGAATATCATTGCAAAAGAAATGCTTAAAAATACACATGGTTCAGTTTTGAAATGCAAATATAAGCTAAAGTTAAAAAGTGACCATTTTTAAAATAACTTTTAGTCTTTTAGACATATAATCTTTACTACTTTCTCAAAGTCCATTTCACATTTAATAAATCATAGAATCTTTTATTTATACCCTTGTTTGTCCTAACATGTTTTTATCGTCATATTACAGTAGGTCACGTCTCATTTTTATTGGTTGCAGCTCTTATATTTTTTTCCTTTAGTACATCATATGACTGTAAAAGTACTCAACTTTTTCCATATTGTTTTTCAATGTTATTCTTTTTAAATATATCCTCAAATTAACTTTGCTTAATGGGTAATAAATTTGCCTTTTTTGTCTGAAAATATATTTTTATAGTAAATAGTGATATTTACATTAAACATGTAAGGCCCAATATTCCTTAAACAAATGCATATCACCTTCCGCCTTTCATGCCAGAGTTTCAGACTAAGATATTCTTATATTCAAACTTTGAAAATATTGTTATACACCATCTCATGTGATATTACAAGATTTAACAAGGTGTGTGTTGTGAATGACTCTCAGGTCGGAGGCAATGTGTGCAATACAATGGTGCTTCATCTAGCTATTTTATAGTTGCTAATGGTGTACTACAAGGCTCAGTTTTAGGACCCAACCTTTTTATAATTTTTGTAAGTAAAATAGGTCAAAACATTCCTGATACCTCCTTGTATCTCTCTGCTGACAATACAATTGCTTTTTATCTAGCAAACAGTTGCCAAGGTTTTCCACCTATCTGCATTTGACATCAATCAGTCAGAATGTTCCATCTCAAACCGGTTGTAAATGCTGATAAAACCAAGGGGATGTTGTTTTTAAAGTCGGTGCGAGCTCGCCCTCCTATCTCATTCATATTGAAAACCTGTTAAATGCGTAAACTGAAAGTGAAACTAGCTTTCTTTTTCAGAATCAGATCATATTTAACTTTGAATACCAGGAAACAGCTTGCAGCTGTGACTTTCCTACCAACAATTATGGTGACATTATTTACAGGAATGCCCCTACCAGCTCCTTGAAGATGTTGGATGCGGTCTATCATGGTGCTCTAAGGCTCATAACTGGTAGTAACTAATGTTCCCACCACTGTTCTCTGTACCACTTGCTCAGTTGGTTATCATTATCTACATCATGTAGGGTCTCACACTGGCACATCTTCTTCTATAAATCATTCCTTGGTCTGCTGCATTCTTATATGTCCTCCCACATGTCATGTCATCAGTGCAGTTACAGCGTGCTCTCTCAGGCCTCCATTAGCTGCAGCGTTCCCTCGGTGCGGACTGAACTCGGCAAAAAGGCCTTCTCTTACTCTGCTCCTGTAACCTGGAACACCTTGCAACAAGTTGTCCACTTTGATTTCTTTAAGGGATTTTAAACGTTTGATAAGTTCATTAGAAAAATCCAGACAAATATATTCTTGTTTTTAGTATTTATTGATTTTTAATTGCTTTTATTGTTTATTGTATTCGATAAGTTGTCTATCACGTTTGGGTCGGGTTGGACCCGAGAAGCAGGTAGAAATGGGGAAGCTCAAGTAAAAGCAAAACTGGTTCATTAAATAAACAAAAATAAAAGCCGGCGTGGCAGAAACAAACTAGCGCAGGAGGGAACTGCTCTGGAAAACACAGGACGCACGAGAGGAGCAAGACAAGGACCGAAACGTTTGACTAGGAGTCAAGACAATGAACTGACGGTGAGATGGCGACATGGTCTGGTTTAAATAACAAGCTGGGTGAGAGGGAAAGTGGAAACACCTGGGCTGAACACTGACTGGAGACAGGTGAAGGTGGTCAATAAACACAAGAACTGAACAGGAAAATTGAACACAAAGGACAAAAAAATCACAAATCACAAAAAGCACAGAGTCTTCCTGAAACTGGTCTCTCTTGAAAATGAGTCATTGTGACTCGTGAGACTGAATGTATAAATAAAACAAATAAAAAGCTATTACCACACTAAACTTTACCACCGTATTTATAAAATTGACTGAATTACAGCTATTTTTTTTGTTTGCAGTCCCTTGGCCATAGCAGCCATCTTAAGTTGGATCTCCAAAAGAAAAAAGGTTTTAAGCTCAATCATCCAGGTAGATAACAACAAAAAAGGCCAAATCTGGATCATGATTTGGCATTTTTTGTTGATCTCCAAAAGATCATCAGTCATAGGCACATTTATTATTATCATAAAGGGTTGTTAAAATCTGCCCTGTTGTTCATGAGATATTTTGCTAACAGATAGACAGTGTAGGCTCCCAATTTTACTTATTGTACTATTTTGTATTATTGTACTATTTTGTACTATTAGTGCTTAGTGTATCCTTAGTTTAGTGTATTTCTTACTTCATACCTTCGATCTTATTACTGTTTTTCGTTATAATTTGTGTTTTTGTTGGGTGTAACCCTGTGTACATAGTTTCGTTCCACCTCGTATGCCAAATGTGATGCGAAAATAAAGAACCTTGAATCTTTGAAAAGACAGATCTGTTTAAGTTTGACAGCGCTCAGAGTATTTGTTGGGGATTAACCTCAGCTACTACCACATCAAACTCTAGGTCCTCTACAAAACTGAAAGAGCTGTAGAGCCATTTTTGTTCTTGCTTAAGTCGCTTAGCTGTAGAGGCCATCTTGAATTGCGTCTACTCCAAAAGTAAATCAGTGGTAGATGTACATATAATGACTAATTTACGCAACTTTCAATAAAATTCGTCAACACGAACACACAGACACGAGTAACCCACCCGTGCTTTTATTCTGGAGGGAAGGACCGCAGGCTTCCGGTGCTGCCCCGTTATTTCCCTCGGACTTGCCGCAGCTCCTCACAGACCCACCAGGCGCACCAGCAGCCCCAGTCTCTGCTGACTCAGTGCCTTAACAGCAGTCCCTCCACCCGGTGAGACAGCACCCAGCACCCGGACAGCCCGCACCGCCCCGCAGTCATGGCCAAAACCGCAATCGGTGAGTTTATTTATTTATCTATTTATTGTAGTGTTTGATTATTATTTGAACGGGTTTCAGGATGATGATGATGATAATGATGATGACACCCATGGCACAAAAGGATGCTGGTGGCTGAATGAGAATAGGGAGCGGCCCAACTCCTCTGCAACTCACTTCTTATTTATGGCCAACTCAGAAAACAGCAACCCCCCCAATCCTGACCCCCCACTTCGGGTTCTGGCTGTGAGGATGTTATTTATTAATTTTGCGTGATCGGGCCGGCGTGCCATTTCAGTGACGCATATAGCTAATTCTTTGATTTGAGAGCTAATGAAGGCATAAAGCCGGAGTATTATTTATGATGGAGCATCATTTGATGGATGCTGCACCTGCCTCCCCGCCGCCTGACTCAGAGCTGCGTGCAGCATAATGCAGCGCGAGCGACCCCACCCAACATCTCCGGTCCCTTCAAAGCAGCTCCTGCTCCTCAGGGTGGGAAATATCTCTGCGTGACAAATCTTCCTGCGACAACTGGGCCGTCTCCTGTGGCTGGACCAGTTTATTTTATTTATTTATTTCTTTATTGTGGGTGACCGCTGCAGACATGGGGGGGGGGGGGGGGTGGGGGGGGGGGGTTGGGGGTGGCACCACCCCACCTTGCTGTCGAGGGAAGAATTTATGACTAGCGATGAAAATGAGGATTCAGGACCTGATCTTGACTAAATGTCTGAAGGAACTGTTATATTCCATATTTGTATTATCAGTGTTTATCAGTGTTGCAGCTTTTTGCTCTAAATGTGGAGAATCAAAACGAGGCTATGGAGGTGGGAGGCCTTGGATGTTGGATTTCCAAATGAAGGCATGAATTATTTGTGGATCTTGTGATTCAGAGCCACTGAAACAACGTGATGTTTTAGTATTTTATAAGGAAGGTTTGTGGATGCGTGAGCAGTCTGCAGTAGTGTGTTTGTTTTCTGGTTGACAGAACACGGTGGATGGAGAGTTACGCAGAAGGACAGTGGTAAGGGTCTACTAAACAATGATATCCTCTCCCTCCTCCTCCTTCCTCCCAAAGCCTCCTGTGTTCCTCCTCTGTGGGTTGAGGTGTGGACAGGCAGACAGGGATGGGCGCCCAGCAGACGCTCGGTGAGAAAAACCTGCCACCAGGCCACTCATCACTCACCGGGTGGCTGGGTTCAGGTTTTAATTTACCATGAAGCAACAGCGAGTCTAATTCAACAGTTTTATGTTTAAAGCAATAAATCCTGAACATTTATTGATTAATTATTATTTCGTAGGACATACAAGGAGGATGAATACTGTATTTATGATACTGTAAACTACTCCACAAAACAAACTTGGAAGAACTGTAACGTGCATTAATAGATGAGCTCAGCTCCACTGAAGAGGGAGTTTATGGATTATGAACGGTTAATATCTTACCTGTTGTAGATAGCTCTTTGAACGACATCGGTTTGGAGAAAAAGTGTCATTTTGACCGTATTGAAAAGCTGATGTTTATTCAGGATCAAAGCATCTGCCGTCTGAAAACCCCAGTCTCAAAGATCTGACGGCGGTTCATGTAAACAGTAGTTTATTAACTTCAGCTGTGCCTTACTTGATTATTCTGGTGGAAATGTTATATTTCTGCTGGAATTGCCACAGCGGTGCAAACAGGAATTATTTCTGCTTAAATAACCATCAATTTCAATGTAAAGAAAATAAAGAAAAATTAACAAAGTAGCAGAACACTAGCTAAAAGCTACAATAAGCTAAATGCTAGTTAAAAGTCAAAAGTGGGAAATGCTATTAAAAATTAAAAGTAGTAAAACAACAGCTGAATACAAGTAGTAAGATGTGTGTTAAAGCAGAAAAAGGTTTAGAAGTAGCAAAAGGTTAGCTAAAAGCTAACATAATAAAATTCTAACTAGAAGCTAAAAATATCAAAAGGGAAGCTAAATGCTAAAAGTAAAAATAAAACAATCTAAGGCCTATTTAAAATCTAAAAGTAGTAAAAGCTAGTTAGACGCTAAACGTTGCAAAGGGCTGCTAAAATCTAAAAGTAACAGAATGGTTGCTAAAAGCTAAATGTAGCAAATGGCTTGCTGAAAGTACTAAAAGGAACAAAATGCCAGCTAAAGGTAGTATAAGAAGACAAAAATAAAACAAAGCTGAAGCAGATTTCATAGAGAACAATTTTTTTGAAGGAAGTGAAAAGATCTCAATTTTTTTTAACATGGGTAAAATACTTAATAAATCTTACATAATGGGTAAACAATGGTACATATTTTGAAAACTATCAAAGTTACAAAAACAAAAGCCATTTTACCCATCTCCTTAATGAGCTGAAATTTATTGCTATTGTCTTTGAACAGCTAAAGTAACACAAAGTATGCACAAAATGTACGAAGAAACCAAAAGGAAAAACAATAGTGTGAAAGCTAAATCAGTGTTCACACAATAACCGTGTGATTTTGACGTGAAGATTTATCAAAACGTTTGTAACTACAGTTGTGAAATTATTTGAGGTTGTAGTTTAAAGATGACAGCTGTGTTTTCGACCCGCTCACACTATCCATTATCTCATCATTTCGATCAGAAATAAATTATTTTTCCAAACTGAGCACTATCTGCAACAGGTAGGATATTGACTGCTTTTTCCCCTGTAATTTTGCTACACTTGTCACAGGTGGGGTCATGCAAGTTTTTCTTTGCACCCAGACATAATCATAATTTTTTTTATCATTTCGTTGCGTCACGCCTCATTTCGGTTGAATTTTCTTGTCTTTCGATCTTCCTTTGTTCTGTTCTTATCTACAAGCTCTCCTGGACTCTTAATTCATCCTGAGTCATCACCGGGTGTCATCGATCTGTGCGGCACACTCCCATTACCGCTTCAGATGACGGGTGCTCCTAATGAGCAGCCGGGAGGAGGTGACATCAGTCGGCATGGCGATGGTGGGCTCCGAGCTTGGGAGATGTTTATCTCCTGTAAATATTCAGATCATGGACAGATCAGGTCTAATATGGAGAAAATCAGTTTCTGTAGACACTGACCGTTCCAAAAAACAATTTGCTTGTTTAATATTTTGAGGCACAGTCATTTTGATTGATATCTCTTTACATAAAGTGTCCATTTATGTATTTTGAGGCAATTTAAATAAAAAAAACGACAAATTTTTAAGTTTCAGATGTTCTCAAATTGGGCAGCACGGTGGTGCAACTGGTAGAGCTGCTGCCTCTCAGCGAACAGGTCCCTGGTTCAAACCCCGGTCCAGGGGCCTTCTGGGTGGAGTTTGCATGTTCTCTCCGTGCATGCGTGGGTTTTCTCCGGGTGCTCCGGTTTCCTCCCACAGACCAAAAACATGCATGTTAGGCTGATTGGTAACTCTAAATTGTCCCTAGGTGTGAGTGAGAGAGTGAATGGTTGTTTGTCTCGTTTGTCTCTATGTGGCCCTGTGATGGACTTGCGACCTGTCCAGGGTGTACCCCGCCCCTCGCACAGTGATTGCTGGACATGGGCACCAGCGACCCCCGTGACCCAAAATGGAATAAACGGGTAAAGATAATGGATGGATGGATGGATGTTCTCAAATTAAAAATCTCTGCATTTTGACTGAATTGTAACCTTCAAAACCTCTTGCGACCTGCTTTCCATCAAGTCTGCTCTTAGTGGTCTGGGTTCCATTATGGTTCCTTTAATAGTCAATTTTGCTCTTGTGATTGCTTCTTAATATCCTGACTTTATTGTAGCTGAGCGGCTCGTCTGTAAAGCTGCTGAACATGCATGTCTCAAACCCATGATGTTGTGCGGCTACAGCACCCAAGGGGCCCTGTGGGGCCTTGATGAAACAGGGTTGCCTTTAATGGGTTCGTTTGTGCTCTCTGCGACTGTAAAAAGCCTCTCCTCGTGTTGTTTGCTGGAGTGAAGCTGAGGAGCAAAGAGGTGGGAGCACACGCAGGTGTCGTGGTTTGTGCTGATGCAGGAAGCCTGGAAGGTGACAACATAGAGGGGCGTATCAGCAGCAGATGAGATGGAGGATGCAGAAAGGGCGCAGGAACGCTCTCTGGGGAGGAGGTGCAGCAGATATGGATGATCTGAACTGTGTGACTGATGGATTAGAGGAGGAGGAGCACTTTGATGGCAGGACGTGAGGAGCAGGATGCTGACCTGGCTGGTTGGAATGGTTCATGAGAGCATGACCTGGAGCATTAAAGGCGTGTCACACCTCTCTGACATTTTCCTCATTTTAAACTGAAATGAGAAAGATGCTCAGCTTTTGAACAAACATGTTTGAACTCCTTTCCTGGCATTTTGACATATCTGCTCCTCTGGGGGAGGACGTGTTATTACACCGTTTACTGAGAAAAAAACAGTAGCACTTCCCTATTGTTTGAACGTCTGTGAATCTAATACATATTTGATATTAAGATATATGAAAACTGTGGCTTTGAGTTAGAGAGCTATCAAACTTTACTATAATAAACGTCCTCTGACGCTGTAATAGTAAAGATCCAGCTAACGCACCTTAAATGAAACTAGAGCTGCACAATATCAAATAAGCACGCTATAACATTATTGTTAAATACTGCAAAAACAACATTCTGCCTGTCTGTTAGCAAAACATCTCATTAGGACAGATTTTTATGAAACTCAAAGGCTTTCAGTGGCTGCACATCTAAAGCTGATTCATTCAAGATGGCCGCCACAGATAATCAGGCTTAGCAGGCTATAACTCAGTCAAACGCTAATGTTTAGCTAATATTTGGTGTGGTAGTAGCTCAGAGTCGTCCTCTGAGAGTCAGAAATGTATTTAAAACTTTGGCCTTCATGGAACGCTGGTTTCATTGATTATGAAACAAAAGTATTAGCTGCTAATCTAAAGGTTATCAAGCAGCAGGAAAAAAAAAAGCTGCTCGATCAGAACTTCATCCAGATTATCTGCTCCAAAGGGCTGGTCGCGAAGTCCTCAGATGTTAGAGGTTGTGTGCATGAGGAAGCGGCTGCAGGAGTTTGGACTCTTGTGCAGCTTTTAACGAGCCAGCAACAGCCCCCCACCCCATAATCAGTAGAAATTTGCTAATTACAATTTGAAGTGCTTTCCACCTGAGGGGGCTGCTTCCATTAGGCTGTCCTGAGGGCAGCCGGCAGTGGCAGATAATTCCTGCGGGAGCTGCCTGCTCTGCTGTGTCTAATCCCTCTGTCTAAACAGCGTGGGTGTAAACCAGTCGTTTCCTCCTTCGGTCTCCTCTCACATGCAACAAAACCTTCCTTCCTTTTTTTTTTCATAAAAAAAAAAAAAACCTGCATCTTCGCCGTGCATTCGCTCTCTCCTCCTCAGGGAAAGGGTTAACAAGGCCATCAGAGAGTAGAGAGCGCTACAGCTGAGAGTTGATCACATTACTGAGGCGTCTGCCAGTCTGCAGGGCAGAAAGCAAGACACACACCGAGGGAAGAGACGAGAGAGGATTCGAGAAATCTGATTTCTGCTTTTGTTTCTGTATCATGCTGCAAATGGTGAACCAAAGTGCCACATTTCAGCTCCGCGGGCCTTGTGCTCTGGGTGATGGATTATGCCACTCTGAGACAGCTGGCATGCAAATCTGCACCACTGCAGTCGACAGAACGCGGCAGCGTGCTGGAAAAACGCAGGGTGTTTCACAACCTGCAGTGGGTTGCAGATATTTTTCTTTCTGCCTCGCTCCCTGCAGACACTGCTGCTGAACTTGAGACTCGCATTACAAAGTGCTCGGTGCCAAAAACACAAGACTAAAATAAAACAAGGTTAGACAAGGTTGGTTGTTCGTTCCATTTTCTCTCTCTCTGTCTGCGGTTCGGGAGCACTTTGTTTTACCTTACTGAGAAGACAGCAGGTTGCCAAATCGTGCCATTTAAAACCGATGCCAGCTTTGCTTCTGTGTTTTTAACCTTTGGTTTATGAATCGGCCACAGGATGGAAAGTCGTGTTTCTGTGTTACGTCGATAAGCTAAACCCTTATCTTCTACTCATTCACCACAGAATACGGAGATTAGACCTATGGAGCAGAGCTGCACAGAAAAATAAAAAACTAGAAAGTTGCTGGAGAAACTTTGATGGGGACTGCCATGCTGCTGCCAATTTACAGTTTTGATTTGACAGTACTTTGTGTTGAGGTTCACTCTCAGCTACCTCTATACCAAATTTCAACTCGATATAGAAAAAAATCAACGAGTTATAGTAATTTTTTCCATTCAGCTAAGGCAGCCATCTTGGATTTTTGATTTGGATTCTGTAGGTGATGGGGAACATTCTCAGCTATAACCTCACCAAATTTCAGCTCTATATGTGTAAAAATAGCTAAGTTAAAGCCATTTAAATGTAGCTTAGCGTGACAAGTGTTCCGTCGGGCATTTTGTATGGGGAAAATGGTGTGTTTGTTTGCAAATTACGTCGCTATGGTAACTCTAAACACCAATAAAAGTAAAAGCACACATCACGGCGCCGAGCCAGTTGTTTTGACATAAGATTTGTGGGAGTACACATTGCGGTTCGGGCCACATTAAAGTTGACGGAAGACTAAGATATAAAGTTAATAAACCCTTAAGGTGGATAATAATAGGTGCTGCCTTGTACCAGGAAGTCCCCAATTAAGGGGAAGGGACAGCGTTAAGGCCATTCTGGTCAAATTGTGAATGATGGCTCTCAGGATCTTAGAGAATGTGTTGAGCATGACTCTCCACTACTACCACTCTAAATTTTAACTATATCTGTAAAACTTTTAGCCATTTTTGTGTTGGCTATGGTCAGTTACCATGTTTTTCGGACTATAAGGCATACCGGATTATAAAGCTCACTGTTGATTTTTGAGAAAATTAAAGGATTTTAAATGCGCCTAATAGTCCAAAAAATACGGTAAGTGTGATGGCAATCTTGATTTGGGCTTACCACAAATGTTAATGAGGTGTACATGTAATGAGAGTTTCAACAAATTCTGTCCAGTGCTTTGTGTGATATTTTGCTAACACTACAGACGCGTGAACGCACACAGGTTGCAGATGATAAAGAGGAGTGACGACAATGTGATGTCATCACAAGTGATATTGCTTTGCACAAATATACATTAACATCTCAAATCCATTTTTTCTGCAACATCATGCCTGAAATGTGCCCAGTTAGTTTCCTGCACTTCATAAAACTTTTCTCTCATGTTTTGTTGCATCAGACAGAGAATGGTTGGGATCCAAATGGGCGTTGGTCTGGCAAAGTTAATAAATAATACATCAAATTCAAACGCAGAGTCGATGATGCGCAGGGAGGCCCGCAGGGACGGGGACATCTTGGCTGTTTGAGAAATTAGGCCAAGTAAGGAAGCATCCATCACGCTCATCTTTTCACAATGAGCTGAAAACTAAAGCTTGGAAAACCCCGAGCAGCTCGGCAGCTTCAGACATCCTTTGATGATGAGATTTTATTATTATTATTTTTTTGAAGGGCTTGGTGAATATTAATTCCATTTCAATCGTTCATGTTTACATCAAAGCCCTCCAACGGAGGTGAAAGTAGGTTAATGATGTTTCATCTTTTCTTTCTGTGTCACCGGGTTAGTGTTTTGCTCCTCGGCTGGATACGTGTGCAGGATAACGATTGCAGTGATGTTTCCTCTGCCTTTCGCAGCTTACAAAGAGAAGATGAAGGAGATTTCTGTCCTCTCGCTCATCTGCTCCTGTCTGTACCCCGAGAGCCGTAAAAACATCCTGGGGGATTTTGAAGGTAGGCGGACACCCCAATATTCTCTGTTTTGGTAAATAAATTTGCAACTAAAAGCCTTCTGCGTGTGCAGACATGGACATCAAACCACTAAACAAGCGGGCCTCAGGGCAGGCCTTTGAGGTCATTCTGAAGCCGCCGTCCCCGGTGTCTGAGGTAGCTCACTGCATCACCAGTCCCCCAAAGAGGGACATTTCCCTGGAGGACATCCAGAAGAAGCTGGAGGCAGCCGAGGACAGGAGGAGAGTGAGTTCCAGTCATTTTGTCTGCAGCCACTTACACAAATCACATATGAAACAAGACAAAATGATTTTTTTTTTGCAGTTGCAAAAGCCTCGATGTATCTAATCTACATTAATAGTGAGTTAAAACAAGTACTGCAGCTGCAGTGAAACAACAACAACAAAATAATGTTAATTGATGCATCCCATTGGTTCAAATGTCAGTAATGTCAGTCCAGCACCAGCAAGCTACTGAAAAATCAATTAAGCAGTCATTAGCCAATCAATAATGCCAGTATCATTAGTAAAACTAACCTAAACTGCACAACCTGAACAAAATGAAGCAGGTCTACTAAAGTTACTCATTGCAAAGTTTAAAATCAAGCATAAAACAAGTGGGGCAGTTTAAAAGAGTTTTCTCCGGTAGTTTTCCACATACTGAATGCGGGTCCTCACTCACCGTAAACAAAGCACTCGGCTGAGTTCGCCCAAAACAACGTGGACGTTGGAGTCAAATGATTGGCCTACATTAGAGCGGCAGAAGTCTGTAAAATAAATACGGTACGTTTAACATATGACCCGCATTCAGTCACTTCGGCTGTTTTCGTAGGTAAACAAATGCATTTGTATCCTGTCCCAGACTTTAAGGTACGTTTTAAGGACGGCATAACTAAAAATATAAGATAAATATTGGTTGTTTCTTACTTCATGATTTATTTTTTGTTTGGTCTTTTTAATTTAGCAATGAATGCCTTTACTTACAGTACCATACCTTTTGCTGTATAAGTTGCACCTTTTTGCATAAATTAGCATGCCCTGCAACTTATAGAGCGGAGCGACTTATTTATGTTTTTTCCCCATATTTATAATTAAATTTTTGGCTGAGATTTGATGATTTCATTCATTCTGACATGGAAAATATTGAACACTACCATTTTCAGCCGCTAGAGGGCGCTCGAGTTATATGGCAAGCCAAGTGTCTCATTAATAGGCAAACGTGGCTATTAATGAGACACTTGGCTTGCCATACAAAGCCACATTCGTCTCGCTCCAGAACCCCTGAGCAAACGTCAAATCAGCTGCATTTCACTGAGCTGCCCAGGAGAAATGCAGCTGATTTGACCATTAAAGTGCATTTATTAAGGAAAAGTTCAACTGAGACACACCTTTGCTTTAATTTTGAGCAAAAAAAACAATTGTTTATAAATGTTAAATTCTTGTTAAAGTCCTCCCTTGCACACTCCCGCAGCCGCCATTTGGCAGCCAATCGATTTTTGGTACAACACCGGCCCACGTTTCCAGGTGGTCAGTGGTGATGCGTAACAAATGTGACGTGTCAGCGTGACGCATGATAGATGCGACTTATACGGCGAAGCAACGTATTTATGTTTTTTTCCCACTTTATTAGACATATTAGGACTGATGTGACTTCCATGGCGATGCGACGTGTACGGCAAAAAATACGGTAGTTCTGTAATACAAGCATATGAGCCACTGGACCAGGTGCAGATCAGCAAATCACAAATGCATTCTCGTTTAATGCTCCTGCACACGTTTATCCTCCTCCCCCTTTCAGTCCCAGGAGGCGCAGATCCTTCGAATCCTGGCTGAGAAACGGGAGCACGAGCGCGACGTGCTGCTGAAGGCCATGGAGGAGAACAGCAACTTTAGCCGCCTGGCCGAGGAGAAGCTTCAGCTGAAGATGGAGCAGATTGAGGAGAACCGGCAGGCCTTCCTGGCCGCCATGATGGAGCGCCTGCAGGAGAAGGTGAGAGGCGGGGAACGGAAAGATCCAACACATGATGGATGAGCGCAGATGAAGGACACTAAGTAGTGTGTAAACCAAGATTGAAAGCTTAATTCTAAAGCAAAGGTCAAACACAAGGAGGCGCTTGGACGAGCAAACAGAGCAATACGTAGCACAAGAAAGGAAGAATAAAATAAATATAAAGCTGAAAGGTTGATGACTGAGAGAGCAAATACATCCTAACAAAGACAGAGGATTAAATAAGCAAGGTGGAATGGGAGCTGCTGTAAAGTGAACACTCAGAAGACAAAAATTGCTTTTATCTCTTTTTTTAAAACCTGCTTTTTCCTCTTCAGCTTTCCAAACGTGCAGAAATGCTGTCAGTTTCAGTGCAAACATCGAGACAAACAACCATCCACTCTCAAACTTTCAGCCGCTTGTTAGTTGTCCTAACATGCATCTTACTGTGGAACAACTTGCAGGAACAGGAAGGACATAAATATAAAAGATTTTTAAAAATTACATTTTTACTGAAAGATGACATTTATAATGAATGTGTGTTCACATTTTATTTTAAATTACAGCACAGCAGACGCAATAAAGAAGAAATTTACCTAAACAGATGAAACCATTTTGGAGGAGAAAAGTGAAATAAACTAGAAAAATTGCATTTCCTGTGAAAATGCAGTGTGAATACTTATTGCAGAAGAACTTGCTGAAAAACTGTTGAAATTAGCTTAAAAAAAACAAGCAGGATCTCAGAGAATGTATGAAATGGAAGAACAAGCCTAAATTAGCAGAATGAACTAGAAACAACACATATTTTCTGAATTGGGTTTAAATAGCAGAAATGAGCATAAAAATTAGAAAATTAGCTAAAAAAAAAAGGCTGAAATTAGCAACAAAAAAAAGCTGAAAAGTATAGCTGAAAAGGCAGAAAGAAGTTTAAACTACCAGAAGAAAGCGGAAAGAGGTGAAATGAGCTTAAACAATGGAATTAGCTGAAAAAGCAGTAATTTACATAAACAGCTAAGTAGTAGCTGATACAGTATAGTTAAAAAAAAAAAAGAAACTTGCAGAAATTGGCTAAAAGGAACATAACAAGCTGAAACTAGAGAAGTTGCCTTTCCTGTGAAAATGCAGAGTGAATGCTTCTTGCTGAAGAACTGTTGAAAAAAAAAGCTGAAATTAGCTAAAAAAACATGCAGAAATGTAGCTGAAAAAGAAGAACAACCTTAAGTTAGCAGAAGAAAACAGAAATGGAAATTATCTTTAAGAAGCAGAAATTTTCCTAAAACAGCTGAATAGTAGCTAAAGAAATGTAGAAAGAAGCTTAAATCTCCACAAGGAAGTGAAGTGAGCTTAATTGTGCCCACTAAGGCTGAAAGAGACAGAAATTAGCACAATAAAGTTGAAATTATCTGCAAAAACCTGAAACTTGCCAAAAATAGCTGAATAGTGACTAAAACAAGCAGAAAGAAGCTTACATTACCAGAAGGAAGTGGGTAGTTGTTGCTGAATTAGGCTGAAAAACGTAGAATTTATTGCAAAAAAATGTGGAATTAGCTGAAAAAGCTGAAATTAGCATTAAACAGCTAAATGGTAGCTGAAATACCAGAAATTGCTGAATTTAGCAGAAATAAGCTGAAAGGAGCATAACAAGATGGAATTAGCAGAAAGCAGTTACAAGAAGCACAGAAATGTTGAACTTAGCTGAATAAAGCTGTTAGGAGCAGAAAACAGTTGAAAAAACAGCTGAAATTAGCTGAAAGTAGCTGAATATTTTTTTTAATTAAATTTTGCACAAGGAAGCTGAAAGAAGCTTAACCGAATCTAAATTAGCTTGAAAATGGCGGGATGACAATCGCTCCGAATCAAGTACGGAAGAAAAATGGATCACAATAGTGTGAATGCTTCATAAACGTTCACACAATAAATCCCCAGTTTAGATCAACTATTATTGTGGGGTAGAGGCAGGAAAGCCAATTCGGGGCCTGAAAGTTCCAGGTTTGATCCCCAGCCATTCCCACATGTCGTGGTGTTTCTGAACAAGACACCCAATCCCCAGTTGCTCCCCGGGCGCCCACATAGCTGCCCACTGCTCCACCTGGGTAGAGAACCAATTTCACCATTGGGAACATACAATGATGAAAACACATAGAACATATTATTATTATCATCATCATTATTATTATTATCAGCCATATTTAAACTTTACAATTGTCTTTTTATTGTTGACATGTGAAAATATTTTCCCGTCAAACACTAGCTAGTAGACTTTTAGTCCAGGATCTGATCCCTTTAACCAAGAAACTTGATTGTCTTTGCTCTAAACAGATTTATACAGTTTCAAGTTTTGCCAAATAATAATTATTTTTTAGCTACAACAGTGTTTTTATTCACATCAGTTTATTGTGGAGGAGCAGCACTTAGACCACATTTACCTTAAAACACTATGCTATGAGGATTGCTTAGGCTGTATGGATGTGACTCTAAACTAGAGCAATGATCGTCAACTGGTGGCTCCCGGGCCATATCTGGTCCACGAGTTCTTTCCATCAGGGTCGCAAAATATTCAGTAACTGATACGTTACTCACAGTCTGCTCAAGAAGCTGATATTTTAAAGATCGCAGAGGAAACAACATCTTCTGTTTTTATTTGATCTCTTTCTCCAGGAGAAGCATGCGCAGGTGGTGCGCAGGAACAAGGAGCTGAGAGAAGAGCTGTTGCCGTGAGAAGCCCCCCTCCCCCCTCTCCACCGGCTCTACATCCCCAGGCTTCTGTCACCACCACCAGCCCTGAGGATCACCTCCCTCCCCGCCTTGTCCTACATGCCCACACACCTCTCCACCCCTTTGCCTGCCATATCCCCCCACCCCCCCTTTCCCCACTTCTGTATTACTACAAAACTACAAAAAGACACCACCCTGAGCGAGCAGAGGTTCAAATGGGGTAGGGGGTGGAAAGGATTACATAAAATTACAAAAAAACAAGAATAAGAATAAGAAAAAAAATGTCATGTCTCTTGCCATTTCCTTCCAAAAAAAAAAGAAAAGAACGTTTTTTTTTGGTTAAAACAAGAAGAAGAAAATTCAAATTGACAAGTGATGGTGGTTTTTTTTGTAAATACTTTTTTTTTTTTTTTGGTTTGTTATATACAGTGCGATACAAGCAGCAAAAGTATTGATTGCAGCGTGCCATTTTGACATCTAAGTTTCTTCTCCCGGCTTCTATATGGATGTGACATCATGTTCTTTTTTCATTCCATCATTTATTTATTTCTTTGGTTTCATTTCAGCCTGGGAATGCTTGTTTCGTGTGGTGACAAAGCTTAGGTGTTCGTTGTGAGTTTGCCAGCTAGCTGATGTCGTGCTGCGACACGCCGGGTCCTCACACAGCCCGTGCGCTGCCTCTGCTCCCACGCCAAGCGGACGCTCGTCGGAGTGATTCTCCGTTCAGATCTTCGCCAACGATCCGTTTAGTGAGTGACGGAGAAGCCGCGAGGAGGACGTAAGCATGGGGTCTGTGGGGGCCGCAAGCTGTCGCTGCACCTCCGCTCCTGTGAATTAGGTAGTGACTGTCCAGCAGGAGAACACAATAGCATTTAATGAGCCTGTCCTCATCCTCCGTCTCATCATCCCCATCTTTCCACGTACAAGTATGCTGTAAAAAGTGCTCATGCTCTCCGCACATATTCACAGCACAGAGCTCAGGAGACCCTTGGATCAAACCCCCCCCCCCCCCCCCCCCGAAAAAAAATAAAAAAACCTTCAGTCATAGTGGTTTGTTAATGTGCACGAAACCACCTGAGGTATAGGGTGCATCCCTGGAACGCTGGAGTGCAAAAAGCACTCGGCTTACTGTGAATCTACACTGGATGAAAACAAAAAGAAGTCCCAGCTTTCTCCATTTCACAACTTTGCTACATTATCTGCTAGAATCATTACATTTTCACCAAAAAATAAAAACAACTTTAAAATCCACTTTAGGTTTGGCGCAAAGACGTTCTTTAAGCCATACAGGGTGTCACTGCAAACAATAAATCACCACAAGCACCGTTTTTTCCATCCGTGAAGGATTTTCTGGGCGTGTTAAAGGATGCGGGCAGTTGTACCGAGGGCTGTCGATGGTCGAACTCTGTCGGTCGCACATTAGATGTGTGTGAGTAAAGTGTGTGCGTGTATTTACGAAAGGTCAGGTAGTTAAGTGTCATGTGATATTGATCTGGTTAGATATAAACCAACGACGACGCAGCGTGTAACAGTTTTCAGGAGTTCTTATATCCTACCTGCTTCTCTTTCTCTCCTCCGTCCATCTGTGTGTTTCCTCCTCTCCGTATATCTTTGTGAGCAAGCAGTGGTTAATAAAGATTTGGGGTTCAAAGTAAACTGGCTTTGAGAGCGTGTTCTTTCAGAAGATGCAAACATTAGTGTTTTCAGGGTTTTGTCTTAGAAAGATGAGGGGCACCAAACCTGAAAGCAGGCCGCAAGGCGTTTATTCCAAGCGGTTCAGAAAAAAGACGTAAATATCTTAAATCTGTGGTTCTGATTATTTTCGTGCCATTTTTCAAGGAAGTAAAATCTTGAGGCCTTCCCTTAGAGTGTACTTGAAATGGTCAATAATAATGTAAATAGTTTTGTGATGTCTTTTTTTCTTTGGACTGTGTGCCTTTAGAGTAAAAATCATCAAATGAGAACTGCGTCTTTGTGAGATAATAAAAATCCAACCTATCCATGCTTATTTAGCAACAGAAATAAAAATAAAATGCGAAATAAATGCCAATCTGTGCACAGAAACGCAACAAATTAAGAGTATGGATATAATAACAGCTGTTAATGGCTGCGATTAGTTTATTTTTTTATTAATCTGTGCAAGAAAAATAATTAACTTTAATTATTAAGTCAAGACGGTACCCGTGAATTAAAAGAATATTCATAGTTTTTATGTCTGCAAAATTAAAAGTTCCAATTTATGGAAATAAATCCAAATATAAGTTTCAAAAAACAGACTTTTATAGCATGAAATTCTGCGATTCCAGACATAGAATGCAAAACATTCCTGCCTGAAAGTGAATATTTTAATTGTCTAATTTAAAACGTTGTGCTGAAGAGCTGGGAGACAACTAAAACATGCGACGGTGGCCGTCGAGGACCAGAATTAACCACCGCTAATCTGTTCTTCTGCACAGAGTAATAGCAACTTCTGACCAGCAGGGGGCGACAAAAGACAAACCCTGTGCGCCTGAATGTGACTTTAAGGTGCAGAGCTGACATCATCTGACCCAGAATCAGCAAGGCCTGGGAGAAAAAGATGAAGCAGAGTGATGAGGAACACAAAGAAGAAGAATGGTGGAGTTTTTTGGGAACAAAAGATTAAAAAGTGTTGAATATGTCAGCCAATTTGACAAAACAGAAGAGAGGATGGTGGAGGACTTCAGGAGCAGCTGCTGGTTGAAATGATGGCAAAGAGACAAAACTCCTCGCTGTGGACTTCCTTTCTGCCTCTCCCCTAACCTCCCATCCATCCTTCTCCTTTTTCATCTTCTTCCAACCTTCCCTCCCCTCCTCTCTACGTTCCCACGAAGCACATGGGTCCAGGCGGGCCACCATTGTCCAGGATATCCCCGCCTTGTTAATGGTTTCCTGTGCACACACAAGAGAGCTGCTGTGAGAAACAGCCTCGTCTGATACCAGATACGGACGACGCACAAACACACATTCGACAGAAAACAACAACCGCAGGCATCAAACACTCACACACTGAATACACACGGTTGATCAGAAGTCTTTATTGAAGGGAAGCTACCACCAGCAACAATAATAAAAAAAATAATGAAATCCTTACTTTGTCAGTGCCCGTTTGTGCTTTTTACAACCATAAAATATACAAACTTGCAGTGAGGCGAAGATATTTCTATTTGAGCTCAGCTCTGCAGCCCTAACACAAATAACTTGAAGACGAGGTGATCATTTACACTAAACATAGTGTTGACTGGAAAACGACATATTTCACTGCATGGGGGGATAAAAAAGTGTATCCCATATAGATCAACCAAACTGGTAGCATATCTGCTCCCAGAATTTAGTCAAACAAGTGCCTGGTTTCAGTTATTCCACCTCATAAATTGTGAAAAATAAAAGGGGGCGACTCTCAGGGCGCCAACACTTGCTGTTTCATGGTGGGGGGGGGGGGGGGGGGGGGGGC